GCTGTGATGACATCACGTACGCGCTTTCGTCGAGCGCGCTTTTGTCTACCGCGGTTTTGTGGTGGAACCCACAATTCATTCGTTTCTGACACAAGTATAAAGTACATGATAGATAGAAGTACATGATAGGAGTAATGTGATAGGGTTCTATGCACCCAACTTGAAAATGAGGTGACATTCCTTAATTGTTCTGTTACTGATTTTAAGTTTGAGGTAGGTAGGGTTTCTTGAAACAAACCAATGTTAAGATTAACCAGTTTTGAAATTTAAATAAGAAACACTATGATTATCCAATCCAGATTTGAAAACATAACCTTCCCTCTCAACTTCTGGGAAAGAACAAACGACTTGCTGTAGTTTCTTCTTGCCACAAAACATGACTTCGCTGTAAATCAATCCACCCTCCACAAAATCCCACAAAGTGGCTGCTTTCAGCTAAGGAAATTATATGAAGAAATTCATATGTATGCAATCCCTTTATCCCTTTCTTTACTCAAAAAATTATGCTTGAAAGTCATAGTCAATTTCCAATTATCTATAAGAGCAATGTCTCCCAAATAGAGCAGAATATAAAACTATTGCTTAATACTGGCTTTTAAATCCTGGTTTGTTTGGAAGCTATTAACTATAGCTCAATTAATAGCTCAACTGTCGTTTTCTCCAATGATACTAAACAACTTCTTTCAAAATCACAACAAAGCAAAATTTAGCCTGAAGAATTTGAACTCTTGCACATTATACAAATATCTAAATATTTAAGTCAACGTGACATTCAATATTCTTGTCAATGAAGTAAGATTGTTGACCAATTGTCCAACTAAATCTCTTGGAGGAAGGAGAGGATTATCAATCAATTGGCAATTAAGGACGATGTTTGATGGTTTCCACCAAACTCCATATTCAATGATGATCAATCACTTTTGGCCAAAGTGCTTTCGATATTAATCAACTCTCTGTCCAGTATTCTTCTGTGTATTGGTACAATTTTGTGCTTTGTTGAGTTGGAGCATATGCTAAACATTATGGAAAATGCAAACATATTGCTAAGCCTAGCTAAGCCGAGGGACCATTCAGCCACTTGGCTATTTATACCCTATCTAGCGATGATTAATTCTGCTTCCTGAATATTAGATCTTGCTCTATGAAGAACAGGCATAACTAGAGGTGACATTTCTAAATTTTATAATCAACACATGCTAGTATAATTCAGAGAATGAATATACATGTACATAATTTATTGAGTTCCACTGTTACAGCATCAAAACCCATATGTGCAAGAGGCACATAAATGTACCTAAGACTAGAATTTGTTGCTTTTATAAGCGAACCATACCATCCACAATAAAAATAAAAGCAAAAAGTAATGCAGGATGATTTCCCCCCCCCATACTGAAACATGACAGCCAAAGTTTGATGTTCTTTTATAAACTGGCTTATCTGGAAATAATAATTCTCATGATTTCAGTGCACTCACAGGAAGAATCTGGCCAAAAGTAAGGACTGATAAAAAAAATATTTTTTCATTTTTTAAGGAAGCATTTACACAAGCATCTATAATTCTCATTTTGAAAGAAACATGAGTTCAATAGGGCTCACCGCAGCAAATGATCTGTAGCTGAAAAATATTTTGATTGATTGATTGATTGATTTAGTTTATTTGTATGCCGCCCTTCTCTGGGAGGGACTCAGGGCGGCGAACAACTCGAAAGGGGAAAAGGGGATACAATCTCAATACATGTAATTAAAATACACAAGA